TATATATATATATATATATATATATATATTAGTGAGAAGAATACACCTCATGCATTCTTTTTAACAAGTCATCTAGGATCACTAAAAAATTTCTAACAAAGGCTAATAGACCCTAGTTAGTGTAACCTTTGTCACATCGTAAATTATTCTGAAAAGGAACACCCACTTTAAGGGCAACAAATCATCTTTGCTTTCAAATAAGTAAAAGGTCTCTTTGAAAAAAGATATTCAGTCTGTTAGAAATTTTCTACATTCACCCATTCATGCATAAGTCTAATAAATTATATTCCTTGAATGTGTGGCTTTTCAACACTCTGTTCTCACGAGGGCTTAGAGGGGAAGAATAATGGAGGCCTTAGAGGAAAGTTTAAAGTTCCTAATTTCCCTAAGTACAACGGGGTCAACTGCTCGAAGGGCCATCCAACGATGTATTGTCAGAAGATGATCGCCTATACTAGTAATGAAAAGCTCTTGATACGCTACTTTTAGGAGAGTTTATTCGAAGTTGCATTAAATTTGTACATGAAACTAGAGGGAGGTAGAATCCAAACCTAGAAGTAGCTCATAGATGCATTACTCAAGCACTACAAATATAACATCAACCTAATAATTGACAAGCCATATCTTCAAAGCATGAGCAAGAAGGACGAGGAACCCTTTAAAGCTTATGCGTAGAGGTGGAGGGAGCTGGTTGCTCAAGTGGAACCCCAGCTATCAGATAAAGAAACCGTGACACTTTTCATCAACTCCCTAATTTGGCCATACTACGATAAGATGATAGGGAACATGTCAACTCTCTTTGCCAACATAGTTACTATCAAGGAAAAGGTTGAACAAGGCTTGAAAAACGGGAAGATAGGAAAGGCCCCCTTAAGCCAAGAGCCTAAGAAGGTTTTTGGGAGGAAGAAAGGGGGAAGAGTTAATGTTGTGACCTTCTCCACTGGCCCTCAAGCAACCAAAATGGCACCTAGGGTAGAAAGGGGAATCAATAGAATTCCCACAAGCTACTCAGAACTGTTGCCCCAACTCCTGGAAGCATCAATGTTGGTGCGACTTCCACTAGCAAAAAAAAGGGAACCTCCTTATCCAATGTGGTATAAGTCCGAAAAAATGCAATTATCATTCCGAGTCTATAGGTCACTCCATAGAAGATTGCAAGGCCTTGAAGTTTTACATGTAGAGACGTTGGGTGGTTGAAGTTCGACACCAATACGCCGAACATCGATAAGCAGCCGCTCACCAAGTACAATGAATAAGGGTCTCAGGATGGTCTGTTGGAAAGTTGTTTTAGGGGGGCTCTCTAAAAAAATAAATTTAATTTTCTTGTTTTCAACTTTTGACCTTTGCCCATGGTCACAAGTACATACACGAAATAAGAGCTTGTATAAAGTTTTTTTTTCATTCATTAATAATACATGTTGTCTTTTCAACTCTTTGTTTATTCTTTTCTCTCTCCTCTTATGCACTAAATTCTAAAACTAATTATAGTACCTAAAACAAACATGACTGAGGATAACAAAAAATCAAACTCCAAACATCTATAATGCATTATCTAAGTCTGAGGTGGATGAGGAAGACGTTTCTCTGGAAAAACAAAGATTATTGGATAGAGAAGCCTAAATGATCAACCTCATTAAGAGGGAATTGAGAAAGTTAACCTCGGGCAAGGAAAGGATAAAAAAGATATCAGTATCGGCACAACGATTAACAAAAACATTAGATATCAGTTGATTGATCTACTAAAGGAATACGTTGGTTTTCAAATGGTCTTACCATGATATGCCAGGATTAGACCCCAAAATCGTTGAGCATAAATTACCCATGAAGGAAGGATTCTGCCCTGTGAAACAAAATCTCTGAAAAGTTAAGCCCCTAATGGTCCCTCAAGATAAAGGAAGAGGTGCAAAAACAATTAGATATGGGATTTCTAATAGTCTCACATTACCTTGAGTGGCTCGCAAATATAGTGCCAGTATTGAAATAGAATGGGAAAGTTCAAGTTTGTGTAGAGTACTGAGACCTGAACAAAGTAAGTCCCAAAGATGATTTCCCACTACCACACGTTGACATGTTGGTAGAGACAATACTGCCACAAATACCATCTTTTCATTTATGGATGGATATTCAGGGTATAAGTAGATTAAGATGGTTATTAAGGACCACAAGAAGACGTCCTTTATCACACCCTGGGGCACGTTTTGCTACAAGGTTATCTCGTTTGGGTTGAAGAACACTAGAGCTACCTACCAAAGGGCTATGGTGACTCTATTCCATGATATGATCCATAAGGAGGTCGAAGTCTATGTGGATGACATGATCGCGAAATCAAAAAGTGAGCATGATTATCTTATCCATTTGAGAAATTGTTTAATCATCTCCGTAAGTACCAATTAAAGCTAAATCCCGCCAAATGTACTTTTAGAGTTCAATCTGGAAAGCTCCTTGGATTTATCGTTAATGAAAAAGGAATAGAAATAGATCTGGAAAAAGTAAAAGTTATCACAAAGATGCCTCCTTCTAAGATAGAAAAAGAAGTCAAAGCTATCCTTGGGAGGGTAAACTACATTGCGAGATTCATCTCCCAATTAACAGATACCTGTGCACTTATCTTCAAACTACTCTGGAAAAATCATAAAACGGAATGGAATGAGGAATGTTAACAAGATTTCGACAAAATTAAACAATGTTTAATAAACCCGCTAGTGTTAGTGATGGAGGACCATCCTTGGTGCTTCATTTG